GTCAGTGTTCTCCTGGAGTCTGTGTGCTTTTAATGTGAAGTCTTTCTGTCTTCGTCCTGTTTTGGAAGCTCAGCTTGTTTTCATAGGCCCTCCGTTGGCGCCCTCTTCTGTGCTGCTCCCAGCACCTGTCGGCAAGCAGATCGCGCCTCCTCCTAACACGGGGTCAGATGCAGCTCTCCTCTGCTGTGGGCGGGCGGGTCACTGCCCCTCCGGATGCCGCAGTCAGATGTTGCAGACTGGCCAGGTTCTACCCATTTTTTAACTGGGTTGTTTGGCTTTTTTTTTAATTTCTAAAGCATGTGATATGTGTAAAAATGATATGACAAGTTCTCAAGTATCAATCTTTTGCTAATTTGTGATAAGAAGAAAAGACTAGGAAACAAATTCAATAATTATCTTCAATAGAAAACAATAAAAGTATTATTTACTCCCTGGCCCTCCATAGGAAATACAAAGATTAATTTTAATTCAAGCAATGGACATGAAGAAACTAAAAAAAAATACATGCTATATTTTCTAGAATGAGAACATTTTGAAAAATCAATTGCCATTATATTAGTATCCAATGTTCTTACTTAATTTTTAAACCTGAAACTGAGAAATAGTCATGAATACTAATAATGAGGGACATAAAATTTAATTAGTCTGGATTTGCAGTGACAATAAGAAATGTTCTGAGTCTGCTGCATCTTATTGAATTAAGTCACATACAAAATGTGACCAACATCAACCACTGATGATGAAATATAAAGTGTTCAACACATCTCAACTATAAGATATATTTCAAAATATTGATGTGGCAAAAATATTTTGACATTTTGCAAATCATTGATTCTCTTTTTTATTATTCACTCAAATGTGTAAGGCTTACATCAGTAAAGCTCATGTCACAATTCCATCAATATTATCAGACAAAAGTACCCGATCACATAATATATTGGTAGCAGATTGAGTGTGAAAATGTAAAATTATAGTCTTACATATTTCCTGGTGCTGGAGTGTCCCATTCCTCTGAACATCATGGCAAATTCAGAACAAATATTTAAAATTAGCAATTTTGTGAGTTGGAATTACTTGCCAATTCCCACTACACTATTTCACATATCCTCATTATTCTTTCATCATCTGCACCATGGGACATGCCTGGAATTCTAAGCCACAGAAGTTAACAGGTTTATCATGGCCATAATTGTAAATCTGGCATTTGGAAACTAAAATGAAGGGAAGAGATTTAGCGGCAAGTAACAGAAATTGACCTGTTTATCCTGAGCTTGAAGGCAGCATATTATGCAGAAGAGAACCAGATGCAACCACAGTGAGAAGTGACTGCTATTCATACCACACGCTAATATTTTAGATTTCAGTGCTGTATTTTCTCAGTGCAAAGAGTCTGCACTCTTGGCCTCATGTGGAGCAACACACCTGATAGTAGAAAGAAAATCCGGAGGTAGGTGATCTGCTCCATTGCTCAGAGCACTTGCTCTGTGGGGAAGCAGTGCTCATTTTGAACTCGGCTGTGGATGAGAAGACAAACCAACAACCTGTGGTAAGTACAAACACACACAAAATTAACCTCGATAGGCCAATAATGGAGAAACCAATTCAAAGACAACATATTAGCCAGCACAATAACTCTGACTGATTCACCATGCTTTTCTCTAACAAGACATTTATGGCCCTTGTTAAAGTAACTGGCTTGCTTTCATTCCTCTAAATTCACATGCTTACAAAGCTAGTCTCTTTTAAAACTATTTAATATCTTCTTTTCCAAATGTCCCTCTGATAGTTTTCCATGAGCTTTCATAGAATGCTTATGCTTTTTCCTCGTTCTCCATACTTATTTAAACTTTGCATATTATTATAATTAATAAAGCTTATTAATGGATAATAGCCCTCTATATTACTATTTTATTATTAGTATTATTATTATTTTCTTAATAAATGGTGATTATCAAAGAACCATCCCAATATATCCTATAATAATTATCCTATTCCTTAATAGGCCAACAGAAGGGGAGTCTACAGTCTCCTTTCCTAAACTACACATTCATGAATTTCTTTCACATTCATAAAGTTCTTCCTTATATCAAACCTAAATTTCTCCTATTACAAACTACAACCATTTTCTGTGGGTCACTGGAAATAGGCAACAGCTGGTTGCATTTTCTGTATAGTGACATTAAGGATGAAATTGTTAGGGAGCCATTTAAAATTGACAGATGACACATGAATCATAAGGACTGAAGAGATCCTGAATGTTCATCATTTAATCCTTCAAGTCAATACCTAAATAACTTTAGGAGGTTAACAATTCTTTCCTTGAATAATAATACTTAAAGCATTAGTAACCTAAGTAGATCTTTGTTACTAGGAAATTATGAAACTTATTTAAGATTAATTCTCCCATATAAATCTTTTCTGTTTTAACTATTAGCAATTTAGTTTATTCACCCAACCATTCACTGACTCAGTGGCCTCTTCCATAGACAAAACAACCCTATGTATCAAATCAACTAGAATATGAATCACAATTTTTATAAGGTAATGAAGAAATGGCATTGATGTTATCTTCTTGTATTTTGTAATATTAGTTGAATTTTTAAGTGACTAATATATATTAATACTAAAATTTATTTAAGACACACATATTGTGGTAATCAAGTACCAGGAATAATTATGAGTGCTTTAAAAATATTAATTCATGTTATCCTATAATTATCCTTTAAGATAAATTGTATTCTTATCATAATTTTTGAGTCCAGGAGTGTGTTAAGGTAACAATGTTTATAAGTGGTAGAGTTCCCTGGGATTAACATAGGTGGTTTGATTCTAGAGTCAGTACTCCTAACCACTATGCTGTGTTGTCAAAAAAATTAGGAAGAGGAGATTGTGGGAGGATGGCTATAGAAAAAATAAATTTTGATTCTTATAAAGACTGAGCAACCAACTGGATAGTAAAACACACAAAACAGCTAGATAGTATATCCAAAACTCATAGGAAATATTTACAACAAATTGAGGCAACAAGGTATCCCCATAAACTTCAAAATGTAATTGGTTGAGGACCCGTATTATTATCAGCATATTATTATATCAGCATCCGTGCATGAGAAAGCAGAGACAAGCAACAAATTGTCTGACAGAACTAAGAAAAGAACCTCAAAATATGCAACACGCTGAAAAACTAGAATTGCAATTTGAAAACAGCTGCTGAAACTGTTAGAGTTTTTGTCAAATCCAATACGAGGTGAGCTGAGGGGCCCACAAGAAAATAATTTGAGAAGACTACAGCAGTTTGACATCTGGAAATCTAAAAACTGATCAGTTACATCTCCTAGGCTGGGCAGAAACTGCCTGCAGTGGAATCAAAATTGAGCAGGACAATAAAAATAGAGATGAAGGAAAAACAACCCTCAGAGAAAAGTGGGGAGAAAACAAAACCAGGAAATCTTAGAAAGCAAGCTTCTACAGTTTTGGTATTAGTTGAAAATAAAAGGAATTTAGAGAAGTTTAGAAAGTCTCTCAGAACCAGAACTCCTACTAAAAATTCAAAATACAAATAATTTTCATCCAAATAGGAAATAAAAAGTATTGAGGTCAAATTCTATACAAAGTTTTTATATGAAAAATGGATGCCAAAATACAGTATAGATGAACTACAACAGGCTAATTCCAAATGAGATAAAGTACATTAAAAATTACTTAAGACATAAAAAACTACATTAAAAACAACATAAAAAACCCTCAAGCATATTGATAGACCTCAGGGGAAAAAAAAAGAAGTAAAAGAAACTGTTTTTTACAGAAATAAAAATGAATTAGGGAAACACAAACAAACATAGGTAACACCTTAGAAAAAATAGAAGATAAAAAAATTGAAAAATTATAAAAACCAGAGATAAATGAAAGAAGAGGTTAAAAAATAATAATAAGTAGAAAGTGATCAATATTGAAGATAGGCAAAGGAAGGCCAAGAAAGAAAGTCCAACAAGCAGTAATAGTAGCCCAAGGTGGGGTAAGAGGGAAAGAAAAGGAAATGCTAAAAATTTCCACTCAGGAAACTTCTCTTATATAAAGAAGAATTAAAATTACATATTGAAAAAGCGTATCACTTACATGAGTACAGTTCCAAAAGAACCAATGATAAGAAATACTGGGCTTCAAAGAAAAAAAGAAAAAAAATAATTTGACATTAGGCAAAAAATATAATTTGACCTATTAGAGAAAGAAATTATTCATTATCGGTCTTTCTGACAATAAATTTTAAGTAAAAGAAATAGAGTAACATAAATATGCAAGAGGGAAAAGTGACAGTTTTATACCCAGCAAAACTGATTTCAACTCTGAAAGTCCAAACTGTTGTCTCATATAAGAGCTAAGGAAATATTGCTCCCATGAGTGCTTCCAGAGGAATTCACTTGAGAATGCACTTCAGACTATTAAAATGATTATAAAACATTACCATAAGGACCAGTCACCAGCATTAAACCTATGGATATTTGCAGATCTTACTAAGACTAAATGAAGGTTAAAACGGAGAGAGTATTATTTGAATAGCTATGTGCTCAGATGTTTTTAAATTATGGAAAAAAGGAGGAGAGCTTTTATGAAAAGAATAATTTTAACTATCCTTGTTAATTATATTGGAGGTGGTAGTTATAATACTGTTATTCTGAGCTCACTGGATGTCTAATGTTGTATAAAGCAAATGAATAAATTATGATTTATTCTAACTATCATCACTTGTGATATTGAGAATGAGGATTTTTTTAGAGTGGAAGAAAGGAAATGTGGTTGTAATATAGATAAGAATTAAGTTTAAAAACTTAACTTACTGAATTGGAAATACCTATATGAACTCATGCTACTGGGATGCTCATTTCTACTGTACTTTGCTGAATGCATAGTTAAGGATGCAGTCCAACTGCAACAAGCATTCCTAATTCCCAGACTGCAGTCTTGAATTATTATTTATCATTAAAAGAAACAGACTCCATAAAGAAACAGCCAATTCAGGCCTGAAGCAGGAAATGTAAAAATGAGAGTAAAATGTCTCCATATCAGACAGCAAAGAAGCCTTCAAAGATTATTACAGTTATGTCAAAATGATTAAAGAGCCAATTTGAAGAGGCTCTTACTGGCTAATGAGGGAAAGATATTTATTTATAATAATATATTTCAAAACCAAATGCTGAAGAGGTTAGGTTAGCATAGTTAGGTGGTCAGTTTCTAAAGTGACAAATGCCATGAAGGGCTTTAATGGTGGCAAGTATCTATCATTCAAAGAATTTCATTCAATTTTCCTTGAAATATCAGAATCTTCTCTAATTACTCTAATAATCTAATTTTGTCCCATTACCTCATGTAATGATTGACTCAAACTTGCTTTAAAATAGGGCTAATTGAAAGGTTACAAAAATGTATTCTTCCAATTAAGTACTTTGTGAAAGCAAAACCCAATCTTACATCTAATTCCCTTAAATTATATTTGACATCTTACTCATGAATGATCATATCTCAAATGCTAATTTTAAACTCTCACTTTGGTGATATTATGGAGGACAATACAGAAGACATCCTAAGTCGAGTCAGAGTGATCATATAATAGTAATTTCTATCATACAGGAGAGAAGTATTAAAACATTGAAAGAAGGCATTGACGATGGAATTGACGAGAAAGGGATACATGGGAAAAAAGCAGAATGGCCAAACTGGATCTAACACGAGAAAAGCATGATATCTACAAAGACTTTCTGATATTGTGCTTGGAAGATCTGATGGATTTTTGTGTCTCAAACAGAGATTAAAGAAAAGAAGTATGTATATTTATAAGTATACATTTAGAAAATATGATACATGCTGGTGTCTACCTACACTGTTGCTGGGAATGTAAATCGGTGCAGCCACTATGGAGGACAGTATGAAAGTTCCTTAAAAAACTAAAAATAGACTTACCATATGATCCAGCAATCCCACTCTTGGGCATGTATCTGGAGAAAATTATAAGTTGAAAAGATATATAACCCCTATGTTCACAGCAGCACTGTTTACAATAGCCAAGATATGAAAACAACCTAAATGCCCATCAATAAATAACTAGATAAAGAAGAGGTGGTATATATATATACAATGGAATATGACTTAGCCATAAAAAGAATGAAATAATGCCATTTGCAGCAACATGGATGGACCTAGAGATTATTATTTTGAGTGAAGTAAGTCAGATAGACAAACATCATATGATATCACTTATATGTGAAGTCTGAAAAAAAAGATACAAATTCTATTTACAAACCAAAAACAGACTTACAGACATAGAAAACAAACTATGGTTACCAAAGGGTAAGGGTGAGGAGGGATAAATTTTTAGTGGTTAGGAATCAACAGACACACATTAATGTATATAAAACAGATAAACAACAGGGATCAACTGGATAGCACAGGGAACTATATTCAATTTCTTGTGATAACATATAATGGAAAAGAATCTGAAAAGAAAAAATATATATGTATGTTTATGTATAACTGAATCACATTGCTG